TGCCTCTCAGGGGCGGCAGGGGGGCGGGGGAGGGCTGGTGCTGGTGGGAGCCAGCTTAAAAACTGGTTTCCCCCAGCACTGTTTCTGCTGTGGACAGTGGAGTAGTGTAGACCAAGCACAAGCTGGGAATCGGCTGATTCCCAGCTCATGCCCAGTCCCAGACCCTGTGATTCTGCTTTTTAAATATGCATTTAAAAGGCTAAAGCACAGCAAGGGGGACCTGGTGTAAGCCGTGAATCAGCTGGCCCAGCTTGTGCCAGGTCCCCCCATTGTGCACCAGAGAGTTGTTCTGCTTTTTAAATATGCATTTAAAAGGCTAAAGCACAGCAAGGGGGACCTGGTGTAAGCCGTGAATCAGCTGGCCCAGCTTGTGCCAGGTCCCCCCATTGTGCACCAGAGAGTTGCAGTGCCCTACTTTTAGACACCTTGAAAATCACTGGCATCTACAGATCTTGGCTTAGGTGCCCTGGCTGCCTCTACGATGAATGGGGAGGGAGATGCCCACACACTAACTAAGAGAACATGCCAAGGAGAGGGTGTGTCCTGAGCCCTAACTCTGGACTTCAGGGAGATGCACATTACACAGCTGGGAACCTCAGACCTGGAGTGTGGGGCCTCAGGCATGTCTTGTTGGAAGCACTGGAGGAGGAGGGGATGTGGATGCCTCACTTATAATGCTTATCTCAGGCCACAAAGCACTCCCCAGGGCACCTAGACTCAATTCCAACCTCTACCCAGAGGAACAAAGGGCTTGAGGCCATCCCACCTCTCACAAGACAACAGAATCACAGAACCTTGGGATCCCTCACTGTCTCCTGCTGTGATTAAAAACAGTCAGTGGGCAGCAAGACTGAGCGGGGGGGGGATGACGGTGTAGCCTGGTGGTCCGGGAATGCCACTAACAGGTACATGGCCCTAATGTTGCAGTTCCAGACCGGGAGTCAGTGAGACATTCTGCCAGTCTGAGACCTGGACCTATGTGGGGGAAGGAAGGACAAACGTGGCTTTTTGCTAATTTTCCTGAAGTTACCAGGAGCCAGTTCACACCCTGGCATTATATAGAGCAGCCTCAGGGTTTTCATCTTACTCTATCAGGCAGCAGCCGCCAAGGTCTATCACATCTGTTGAGGTTCAGTAGCACTCAAGCCACACCCTTTGCATCCCACCACACCCCCACCAGCCTTCTACCTTTTTTCCAGAGGGGCTGCCAGAAGGTGCCCGAAGCTGGTTACGTCGGCTTCACTCCCCCCCCGCTGACACCATTCCCCACTGGATGCTGCAGCCTACACTGGCTTTTTGGCCCCTCTGCGTTGCTGACGTGGCACAAAAGGACGAGGATGCTGCTAGGGACCTGGCCAGCTTCATGCAACAATTTCTACAGGCATGTAAGAGGCTTTAATGACACATTTAAGTGTTGTTTTCATATAGTCTGTTAGCTTCTGCTGTTTGTGCTGCAGCACACTGTGTCCCGCAGCTTGTTCACTGCACTTGTAGAGAAATGGCAGCAGTTGGCTAACGCAGGTTTGGTTCTCTTTGTTTCTCCTCTTGTTCAGAGCACGCTACAATGAAGAGGACAATCTTCTCCTTCTTTCGTGGCCTCACTGTGAGCACCTCCCTGCCTGGCTATGTCATTTTCTTCATTGCTCTGCACATTCACCGTTTGGCAATAGGTGGGAATTTGTACTTAGCCATGAGATTTCTGCCTCTTGTACAGCTTTCCCTTTTGGTTCTCTTTGTTTCTCCTCTTGTTCAGAGCACGCTACAATGAAGAGGACAATCTTCTCCTTCTTTCGTGGCCTCACTGTGAGCACCTCCCTGCCTGGCTATGTCATTTTCTTCATTGCTCTGCACATTCACCGTTTGGCAATAGGTGGGAATTTGTACTTAGCCATGAGATTTCTGCCTCTTGTACAGCTTTCCCTTTTGAAAGCACCAGTTCTCACACATTACAGCCAGGGCTGGCCCGAGCCCTTTTGGCGCCCTGGGCCAGGGCACGTGGCGCCGCCCCTGGGCGCACAGCACATGTGTAGGCCCACCTGTGGGGCACGAGCCTGCCCCTCAAGGCGGGGGGGGGAGGGGCATTGCTGGCCAGCGCCGCAGGGATGTGGGCAGGCTGGCACTGCACGAGCCAGACACGTGGTGCCTGATGGCAGCTGTAAGGGACACCGTGCGCCCCTTACAGCTGCCATCAGGCGCCCCCCATTGGTTGGTGCCCTGTGCAGCTGCCTGGCTCGCCCATGCCTCAGTCCGACCCTGATTACAGCTTCATGTCATTCACCATGTCTGCTCACCTGGAAGGCCATGCAAGTCACAAACTAGCCTCTTCATTCCAGACTTTTGGCTACGTTCTGCTAATGTCACTGCAGTAAGCTGACGGGTTCTTCCAGCCAAGAGTTTCTCCCTCCTGGGATGGCATTTCCCTGAGGGCCGTGAGGCTGGTGTTACAGCTCAGCACTGCTCTCTGGTAGCCCCGAGCACAAGAGTTGCCTGGGAAAGTGCAAAGCATTCACCATTCCCAGTGAATTCCAGGGGAGCCAGGCTGTGGATGTGTGACATACCATAAGAAAATGGTATGCTCAGAAAAATCAGGCCCAAGGTGCCTCCATTTGGGCATCCAAAGTGAGTGAACAATTTTGGCCTTCAACTCTCAGTTTCCCATCTGGACAACTGAGATAATGAAACCTTCCTACCTCAAAATAACATTGTGAACCTACAGTTATTACTGTTAATTGGCACACTCATAGGGACAAACACCACAAAATGTCCTTTGGACAGACAATACAACACTGTATCCTATGCAGGTTTTGGAGGGGGCAGTAAATATGGTCTGGAGCCCTCACTGAATGTCTAAGATAAAAACAGCATTGAATAGCTTCTCATTCAGGCTGTGTCTAGACTGGCAAGTTTTCCAGAAAATCAGCAGCTTTTCCGGAAAAACTTGCCAGCTGTCTACACTGGCCGCTTGAATTTCCGGAAAAGCACTGACGATCTCATGTAAAATCATCAGTGCTTTTCCGGAAATACTTTGCTGCTCCCATTCGGGCAAAAGTCTTTTTCCAAAAGACTTTAGCGCAAAAAGGCCAGTGTAGACAGCACAGTACTGTTTTCCGCAAAAAAGCCCCGATGGCGAAAATGGCGATCGGGGCTTTTTTGTGGAAAAGCGCGTCTAGAATGGCCACGGACGCTTTTCCGCAAAAAGTGCTTTTGCAGAAAAGCATCCTGCCAATCTAGACGCGCTTTTCCGAAAATGCTTTTAACTGAAAAGTTTTCCGTTAAAAGCATTTTCGGAAAATCATGCCAGTGTAGACGTAGCCCCAGCGTATGTCTACACTGAATTCCTCTTTCTAGAGAGGAATGTAAATGTAGACATCTGAAATTGCAAATCAAGCGGGGATTTAAATATCCCATGCTTCATTTTCATAATCGCGGGTGGCTGCTATTTTGAAATAAAAGCTGCTGTTAAGATGCGGTTATTTCGAAAGAAAACCCTTCTTCCGGAATAACCCTTACTCCTCATAAAGTGAGGTTGAAGAATGTCTACATTTGCGTTCCTCTCTCGAAAGAGGAATGCAGTGTAGACATACCCTCAGTGAGCACAATCCATTCTGTGCAATGAATGAGCCAGGACGTCTCTGGAAAAAATACCGTTTGTCCAAGTAATTAAAGACTGTGCAGAGCCTTCATTCTGGCATTTCCTAGTTTTGGAGGGCTTGAGATGGCCTCCTTCACGGAGTTATTGTCTGTAATTAATGTACAATTTCTGGCCTCATCATGGTAACCAGCTCCCAGGTAGCATGTAGCACAATGAAGCAGTGTGCGATGCAAGAGCATACAAATGGTGACTAAAATGCTTTACTGACAATGATGGGCTAAACCAGGGGTGGGGAACCTCAGACCCGGGGGCTGGATGCGGCCCCTGGTTTGCCTGGATCTGGCCCCCAAGGTTTAGCACTGGGGAGCCGGTGCTGGCGCTCCAGCCCCCCAGCCAACCCACCTGCAGGGTTGGAGCATACAAAATCTATTAGCTCGGGCCCCCTTAGGTTCTGGTGTGCTAGGGGAATATGGAGAGTTTTTCTGTTTATCAGTCAGGGGCTTCTCACTTGTGCACGGCCCTCAACTGATTTTTCTGTGGGTCAGCAACCCCCGGTCCCCAAAAGGTTCCTCACCCTGGGCTAAACTGTGTCATTAAAGCCCATCTCTTAGTTGGGTCAGCTGGAGGGACACAGGCCCAGTGGCATTTCCTCAGGTCATTTTGCTCCAGGTCCTGCCTCTTCCCCTTTGTGGTGCTCGTCACATATGTCCCGTCGCTGTTAGAGAACTGGACCACTGCTAGCTGAACGGTTGGGCTGCTGTAGTGTAAGCACCAGTGCAGCAGAGTATCCACGCTTCTGTTTGCACCAGCCCACTCTAGTGCCCTGCCATGCTGCTGCCCATCCAGCTTTTCTCTGACTGAATCACCTTTTTCTGCTGATACATTCCACAGCGCAGTTCACAGTGACTGGACCTGACCATCCAATCACCGTCCCTGTTGGTGGGGAGGCCGTCTTGCCCTGCCACCTCTCCCCCAGGACAAGTGCTCAGGACATGGAGCTGCGGTGGTTCAGATTGAAATTCTCTGCAGTCGTGCACCAGTATGCCAAGGGCCAGGATCAGTATGATGGGCAGATGCTGGAATATCATGGGAGGACAGAGCTGCTGAAAGATGACATCACTAATGGGAATGTTTCCCTGAGACTACGCCCTGTCAGGCCCTCTGATCACGGGCAGTACACTTGCCTCTTTCAATCCAGAGTCTTCTATGAAGAAGCCTTTTTGGAACTAATGGTATCAGGTCAGTTACTATGTTTTCCTGTTTTGATTTGCTAGTAGTGAAAAAGAACTGGTAATCATTCATTGTGAGATGCCCCTTAATTTCTCAAGAAGCAGAGAAACTAAATGAATTCTTTGCATTGGCTTTCACAGCAGAGGAGATGAAAGAGATTCCCAGAGCTGAACCATTCTTTTTAGGTGTCAAAATTGAGGAACTGTCCCAGATTAAGGCATCATTAGAGGAGGTTTGGGAACAAATTGTTAAATTAAAGAATAATATTTTACCAGGACTAGATGGTATTTACTCAAAAATTCTGAAGGAACTCAAATGTTAAATAGCAGAACTACCAACTGTGGTTTGTAACCTACCCTTTAAATCAGCTTCTGTTCCAGAAAACTTGAGGATAGCTAATGTGACGCTATTTTTAAAAACTCCAGAAGAAATCCTAGCAATTCAAAGCTAGTAAACTTCAATGCCAGGCAAACTGGTTGAAATTATAGTAAAGGAAAGAACTGTCAGACACATAGATGAACATAATTTATTCAACATGGATTCTGTAAAGGGAAATCACGTCTCACCAATCAACTAGAGTTCTTTGAGGGGGTCAACAAACCTGTGGATAAGGGAATTCCAGTGGATATAGTACTTTGATTTCCAGAAAGCCTTTGACAAGGTCCCTCACCAAAGTCTGTTAAGCAATATAAACTGTCCTGGGGCAAGAGGGAAGATCCCTTTATGGATCAGTAAGGGTACGTCTACACTGCACCCGTATTTCGGAATAAGCTATTCCGGAAGAAATACTCCAAAATAGCTTGTTTTGAAATAGCACATCTATACTACAGGGAAGCCTCAAAATTAGTTCAAGGCAGGCTCCTCTAATGTGGATGCGCTACCTAGACTCAGAGTCCCAGAAAGCACTAGGGACTAATTACTTTGAGTGGCCCTGGGGAGGAGCTATTTTGAAATAGCAGCAATGGAGCTTCCACTATTTCAAAAAGGCTCCTCTAATGTGGATGCGCTACCTAGACTCAGAGTCCCAGAAAGCACTAGGGACTAATTACTTTGAGTGGCCCTGGGGAGGAGCTATTTTGAAATAGCAGCAATGGAGCTTCCACTATTTCAAAAAGCTCTTTTGGAAGAGGCATTATTCCTCGTGGAATGAGATTTACAGAAGTCAGAATATGTTGTCCATTATTTCGAATTTATTTCAAAACAATGCAATTGCCTGGCCCTTCCTGTATCATGTCCCCTCTAAGCTAAGCATTCAGCTTTTGAAGGTTCATGCACTAGTGAGATTCTGGTATTTAGTAGAGATGTTAAATATTGATTAATTGAATAGTCGAGTAACCTTGTGAATTCTTATCGTTTAGTCGACTATTCTATAGTCCCTGGGGGTGGGGCCAGCAGCCAGTGTGCCCCAGCCTCACTCCTGAGGAGCCCCCTGACACTCTGCACTGCTGCCCCTGTATCAGAGGCAGCAGCGTGGGGTGCTATGTAGGAGCTGGTCCGTGAGAGGAGACAGTTTAAAAATCAGCTCCCTGTGCAAACTGGCTGCCTGCTACCCTGTGCTGCTGCCTCTGTTAAAAAGACAACAGTGCGGGGTGGTAGCAGCCCCTGTCTAGTGGGGGTCTGAGTTCCCAGACTTGGTACGAGCCTCAACTGAGCCAGGCTGCCTGCTCGCCCAGCTCCTAATACACTTTAAATGCAGAGTTGCAGTAGGGGTAGGTCCCAGAGCCAGCATGAGCCAGGACTGAGCCTGACTGCTAGCCAACCTGCTAAAAAATGTACTGGCAAGGGGCGGGAGAAATTTATGTAGTCTATAGCATTAACCAATAAGCTTTTGCTTATCAGTTAATCGACTACACGATTACATCCCTACTTTGGGCAGCATTTGCACTGTGCAGATTCCCTATGCACTGACCGCCAGCTTGTGACCCCCAGCATAAGTAAAAGCAGCCATGGGAGCGGCT